CACAAATAAATTATGTTAACATCAATTAAACAAATCAACTTTTACAAATCACCTTTTACAAATCAATTAAACAATCAAAAAATAAGCAATAATTATTAGAGAAAATAACACTTCTACTATTGAATCAACTTTTGCAGCCATACATCATTTTCACGCAGCTCACTTCTGAGATTAACCTGCATAAACCAAACATTTGCTCAAACAACACTTTCTACACATCTAAAACCTACAAACAGTAAATTATTGAATTCTAGGTACTTAACCAAACATTTTCAAACCACAAGCCTATAAACATACCAATTGTTTATGGACATTTTTATAACGCGGATGCATGTAAGCAGCGTCTCGTATATATCGATCTAGCCATATAATGTCGAAACCACAAGCCTACTGCAGCTCTATCTATATCGGTGGGAGGTAGATACTTTATACTTCTGTGATCAAACGGTCCAACGCCAAGCATACGAGGACCACAATCCCCTCTGGGTCCTTTCGTTTGTTGTGGTGCGGTCTCGTCTCTGCTAACTGTAATATTGAGCTTCTTTGGCTTCTTGTTTCCAGAACGAGTCCAATAATTTATCGCATCCAAGTATTTAGCCAAATAAGAGCTCAATCCCTTAATAATATCTCTTAAATCAGCCAATGATATGTAATTTATCATGCTGTCATATACTATTGCCTTAAGGGATGGGATCTGAAGCTCGACGAGAAGCCAATGGTTACGTTCCAAAACAGGGATAAACACCTACAATCATAAGTAATAATTCATTCATTTGCGCACTTATTTATGAATACCTTTAAACTCAATCTAAAATAAACACTAACCTTATCGACCTCCCACCATGCAGGATAAAGTTTAGCTTGTCCATTGCCCAACGCAAATGATTCATCTCGTTGATTCTTCAAGTGAACGGCGTTAAAAGACGTCGACATAATTGTATACCGTGTATTTCTTTTATTTTCCTTAAGTTTCCTAATTATTAGAAGACGTGACACCCACGCATCGATATGCTGTTTTACAAAAAAAGACATATATTAGTAACTTACATAAATTTACAAAAAAAATAATCAAATGAAAATATAAGAAAAATAAGACTTATCCCTCCATCGAAATAGCCATTGTCTTCGACCCCTAATAATACGCCCCACCAAGACCGATCAAGCAACAAATAGATATCATCATTGAGCTTGCATATGTCAGTGAAACACCCCTGGCTTCGCTCATGTAGATAAAAATCAACTGCGGTCTTAGCCCAAAGGGTGTTATCCAGAATTGTGTCCGGTAGTTGTTTCCTCTCCTCTTCAGATACCGGTATGGTACTGGCCAGTAACTCATACGAGAGCCAACTTGAATCCATCATGTCTGGCACGTCAGAGGGTTTCTCAAGAATCCTACATATGACGCCATGTGAATCGGGCTCTTGAATGGTGGGAGGGACCTCTTCAACGATGACAGTGGCCTCTTGAACGGTGGGAGGGGACTCTCGAGGAATGATAGGGGCCTCTTCAACGATAGGAGTGGACTCTTGAGGGATGATAGGCGAGTCGGGCTTCTTCTTGCGGTGTCTTCGCACTATTGGGGTATACGGAGACTTAATAGCACGTGCACGCCGTCTGATGCGTGAACTCTGTCGTGCAAGAAAAACCCGACGTAAAGCATCCACCTTATCGGTCCGCTAAATAAAAATACAAATATCAGTAAATAAACAGACATGATATTTAAACAGTGAAAAAAAAGATAAATATATTTCAAACTTTCAACCAAAACACAAAACAAAGACAAATACTAACTTCACAGTGTTAAAGTAAAAAGTTTAGTAGTTTTGGCAGCAACCGAATAAATTTACTAAGCAATCTAAGTGAAATGGTTAATTTAAGTGAAATTACGAGTAAATTTATCATCAAGTTAAATATGGAAAATCTTAAACTTACCTCGTTGCGTAGAGTATGAACCTCATTCTACAACGATACTACCATCTCACGTAGAGCGGCAACCTCACCACGTAAAGTAGACACCTCCACACGCCATGCACCATCGTTATCAAGTAGAGTACCGATCTCCTCACGCAAGGTATTGACCTCATCACGTAACTCCCTTGACTCATCCCGTGGAGGTGGAGAATAGGGAGATAGAAGTCGTGGCATCTTTGCCGGTCGCCTATCATGAGGTAATGGTGGAGAAGAGGCTCGATGATGTGACGGGATAGGTGATGGCTCTCGTTGTAGAGGTGTATAGTCGGGTCGATCAGGTGATGGCTCTAGGTGAGGTGATGGCTCTCGAAGTGGAGGAAGTAGAGACTCATCATCATTCGTGCAAGATCAAGAAAACTGCTGACTAGCTTGGCACCAATCAGTGGCAAGCTCAGCCTCCGTGGGTGTCAGTCTCATTAATGGAATGTTGGCCTCCTAAAAATATAAAAACTCAAACAAAGTTAAACGTCTAATATTAATAACTTGTTTATATATGATAGTATTTGTGTTAACTTACATTATTTATTGTCGCATATGGTATTAAGTCTTCCCAATCCAACAGACGTTTCCTCTTCCAGGAAATAGCCCTGGGAATATCATTTGAAGTTTTTATTGCATATGTCTTCATGGCGGGAAAGGCCTCGAATATCCAAATCTACAAACAATATAATAACAAATATTAGTAATTGTTAAATAATTAATTATAATTTTGAAAACTTATATAGAAATTCTTACCTTAAAGGCCCAAACAAAGCCCGACAAAGTGTATTTCGACCCATCGCCCCGCAAACTTTTGCGGTCATCAAAGGCAGACGACAACTTAGTCCAGGTAGCTTTCCATATATACGAACCCCACGGAAACAGATTCCATGCATTTAGGTCCTCTACCAATAATATTAGCTCCTGAGGAATAGGTTGTCTGGCCTCTCTGCCTAAAAAGCCAGCATACAAAAGTAGTAGAATGCATACTCGGACAACATCGACGTCATTCATCCGAGTAAAACCATCTTTCTTATTAAACAATTTCTTCATGTCGTCGACGTGTAAGTTCGGCTTCTCTATTGACTCATCAGGAAAAACCCTGGATAACCATGATGGGCGGTGATATGACGAGTGTACCGGCCTACATCATCGTGTCCGAATCGTAGACCAGTGATTAAGCAGAACTCCTTCCGCCCAAAACAAGTATACGCCGGTGGAAAATGAAACCATATCTCTTCCTCACCACGTTGTATACTGTCGGGTAGATCGCTAGTCATGGTCTGAAGCCACAAATGGGTCAAACTAGCATCTCCACCCGATGCTGTACTCTCAGCCATGGCCCGAAGCAGGTTTCTTCAAACAATTTTCTTTGTGCAGGTGAAAGCTTCGAAGCAATTGTAGTGGCTAGGCTAACTTTATTCCTTAATGTCAATGAAGCCGAAAAAAATTTCTACAAAAAAACAATAAACATACCAAGTTAGATATACCAAAAATTACACTGTCAAGATATACCAAAAACAAAAACAATAAACATAAATAGTAGTTTATTCTTGAAACTAAAATTTGCAACACTGTTTTTGTCTTTTGGTTGAAATGAAAATCGCAACGAGATAATGAGAATCGCAACGCGGAAATGACTATCGCAACGAGAGAATCGCAACGCGAAATGACTATCGCGACCAGACAATCGCAACGCGAAATGAAAATCGCAACCGCGAAATAAAATCGCAACGCGAAATGAAAATCGCAATGCGATTTTGGTTTCGCGTTGCGATTTTTATTTCGCGTTGCGATAGTTATTTCTGTGTTGCGATTTTCATTCTCGAAACTATTCTTCTTCTGCATTACTTCAACCAAAAGACAAAGCAAAGACAAATACTAACTTCACAGGCTAAACAGTTTAGCAGTATTGGCAGCAATCGAATGAATTTAATAAGAAATCTAAGTGAAATGGTTAATCTATTATTGAAATTACCAGTAAACTTATCATCAATCTCAATATGAAAAACCTAAAATAATGCAAAAATTTCAAAATAAAAATAAAAAAACTAACCCTCGGAGGTTGATTTTCCATTTCTGAATGATTGTGAGGGATTTTTGACTGTGAATGGTTGTGAGGGATTTCGCCGGCGATGGGGACGGAAATCTTCGGAGATGGGGACGGATTTCACCGTAGAGAGTGAGAGATGGAGATGGGACTGAGTGTTGTGTTTTTGGGTTTGAGGTTATGAGTTGCGATTACTGTGGACGGTACAGTTTCCGATTTATTAAGAAAAAATTCGTGTTTGGAATTTGAAAAAAAAAATACGCGTTAATACGAATGGCGCTATGTAAATCGCGTTGCGAAAGTCAGAATCGCGTTGCGAAAGTCAGTATCTCGTTGCGATTTTGTATTATCGCATTGCGATAGTAAGTATCGTATTGCGATAGTCAGTATCGCATTGCGATTTTCCCAATTCGCGTTGCGATTTACTTATTCGCATTGCGAATTGGGAAAATCGCAACGACATTGTATACCATCGCAACGCGATTTCCAACTATCGCAACGCGAAATGCAACGCGAATTTGCGATAATGGAGATCGCGTTGCGAATTAGCGATCGCATTGCGATTTTGTTGATCATTTTGAAAAATGCGGAAAAAGTTGGTTAAAATCGTATATTATATGAGATTTTTTGTCACTGAGATTATTTTCTCTAATAATAATAATAAACTCGTGAGTTGCATCTCTTTTCCTTATTAGCTTGTAATGGTTAAAAAAGAAAAAGACTCTATTGGGCAGCAAGCCCAATGTCAAGTGTAAATCAATTCCCGCCTGATTGACTCTGCTTTCTCATCCCAAACTCACCGAGTTACTGACTCACCTTCCCTGATTATTTTCTGCCTTGGCTACCCAATGCATATATTTCTTGCCTTTAGGCTTTTAGGGTTTCCCTGTTAACATTGTTGTGGTGTCTTTGGAGTTTGTTTCGTGTTTTCGCAGCTTATAAGTGCTGCTCAAGTCATAATTTGTATTATCTGATACCAGGGAAGGTTAATTGGTGCGGAATGAACAGCTTCAGGGAAGATTCTCCAGATTGGCTGCGCTCTTTTCAGGTTTACCCTGCTTGGTTTAGCTTCTACAATCCTTTCATTTGGGAGCTATCCGGTTAATCAGATTTTTCGCTTTCTATTTCTTGTTTTTACAGTCGTAAACCCTATAGCAGTTAGCTTACTCTTGCACCTTCACGTTGTTCCTTACTGAATTCCGACTTGCGATAATTAACTTTGATTTCAGGCACCAACTTCTAATTTGACATTTCTTCAGATTCCGATTCTCTGCCAAATGGTAATACTTCCTATGACTGTTAAGAACCGATGCCAAATGATGCTTAAATGAATTGTGAAAAATATATAACATATTAGCTTCTGATTTCTAAGCCCTTTCTTTGAACTTGACTTTGTTATTTACAATTTGTGTATGAACTTTTAGCAATGATACAGGGAGTGAGGAGGAGGGAAAGGTTTCTATGGGAGAAATGTCCAAGAAAGGCTTGTTGTCTCATGTAAGATTTCACACTGCCTTGCCTTGCCTTGGGATTACCTAATTCAGGCTTATCCTCTATTATAGCATTGGGAATTTATGAAAATAAAAACATTTTTGCTTTGAGAAAGAATCATGTTATTGAACAAAGCCATTGTCATTCATTTAACGAATATGATAAAGCTTTATAATGTAAATGTTGCTTCATACATTTTAGACATATACCATAATAAGATAACCAACCTGGTATTACTCTGATTAGATTGGTAGGGGTGTTCATTCGGTTAAAACGGTGGCCGACCGAACCGAATTAACCATAACCGAATTAATCAAACTTTTTTTTTCTTTAACCGTTAACCGAACCGAATTTTTTTTTCGAACATATTAACCGAACCGAATAAATTTATGTTAATTCGGTTAATTTCGAATTAACCGAATTTTTTTAAAATTTTCTAATTTATATAAAAATTAAATATTTTTTTAATTCAAAAAAAGTTTATAATTAATTTAAATAATATATAATTATAAAATAAAAATTTTAGATAAATTTTTTAATTAATTAATATTGATTTAAGTTTAAAAGTTATTGGATCTTAAATTATTAATTGGGTTTTAAATGGTTTGGACTTAGCCCATATGTTATATATAATATATTTAATATTTTTTAATTAAAAAACAGTTTACAAATAATTTAAATAATATATAATTATAAAATAAAAAATTTATATAATTTTTTAATTAATTAATATTGATTTAAGTTTAAAAGTTATTAGATCTTAAATTATTAATTGAGTTTTAAATGATTTGGGTTGAGCCCATATGTTATATATAATATATTTAAAATTTAAAATTTAATTTCGGTTAATTAACCGAATTCAAACCGAATTAACCGTTAACCGAATTCTAAAAATTTTCTTAACCGTTAACCGACCGAACTAATTCGGTAACCGAACCGAATTAATCGAATTAATTTAGTTCGATCGGTTAACCGAATTAATTCGGTTATTTGAACAACCCTATAGATTGGAGGGATACTGTTTAATATTGGTGCTGATGAAAGTAGTTGGATGTTGAACAGACAGGAAATAATTCAATTTGGGCTTTATCGTCAGATTCTGAGTCTTCTCCTAAAAGGAAGGAGAAAAGGTCTTTATCTCAAGAAAGTGGTGAGACCAGTGATCTAGTTCTGACCGGAAGAGCCGAAAAGTCTCCACGAAAGAAGACTTCTAAAGGAATATCTCCGAAAAAGAGGGTAAAAACTGGGGGTCAGACTCCCAAAAAGGAGAAGAATGTGAAAGATGATGCAAAGGTAACAGGTATGATACTGGATTTGTACTGTAAAATTTGATTTTAAATGCAAAGGCCATTTATTTGATAAAGCTACCAAAGTTGCTTCACATGCAATGTCTGACTCTGTTACAGAAAATGATGGTAATGTGGAAACTGCCGAGGATGCGGCATTAGAAAAGCACATTGAACCTCATGTAAGAATGTTGGTAGCAATTTTGATGCTTTCTTTTTATCATCTGAGCCTCCGATCCACTGAATTCTTCAAAATTTATGATATGTAGGTTCTCACCTCAAAGTTGCCTTTGGTGATGTCTGAGAAAGTTCAACGCTCTAAGGTAGGATACATTTTGTCATATTTATGGCTTATTTACGACTAACTCCCCTAGGGAATTGGCAGTAAGTTTCAAGAAGGATTATATTGACTGTGCCTAGGAGTATAATCAGAAATATTCTAAAATTAATAATTTAGTTACTTTCTTAGTCACTAAAGCTCTGCAAACAACCTAGGAGAACCTAGAAACCAATCTTAACTAGTATATTTGGTCTCTCTAGTTGCAGACTTTTAAGGATTTAGCATCATGCTTTTTATTTTAATTCAAAATCTAAAACTCTCTAGTTTAGTTTGATTTTTATTTATTTATATGTCTGCAGAAGTGGAAGCCTAAACAAAATATATTTTGTGTTACAGAGATCTTAAATGTTATAGAATTAGCTTAATGAATTTTGGCCTTGTGATCGCATGTCTACAGTGAAAAGGAACCAGTGATTAACAAGAAGTTTTGTGCTTTGTGCAGGTACTTGTTGAGTGCGAAGGGGATTCCATAGATTTGAGTGGTGATATGGGAGCTGTTGGTCGAATTGTAGTTTCTGGTTCTGCATCTGAAAATCATGAGATGTTCGTAGACTTAAAAGGCATGTATTGTTTAACTGTTCTTCCTAGGTTCAGATGATATATCTGTTTATTTTACTTTTGAACTTGTAAGTTATCATCTCTGAATGGTTGGCTGAGTTACTGACACTACAAGGGTAAAAGAATACATACTGACATATTTATATTCCTATATACTTGGACTTGTTCTGCACTCAGATTCATCGAGTTACTAAATTTTCTGTTATGCTCTATCTGTTTGTACTTTTTTCCAATTAAACCTTGGCCTTACTACGGTTCTAATTTGAGGATGTTATCTTTCTTAATCTCTCATTACTGGTTTTGAATGACTTATTTTGTCAGGAACCATATACAAAACAACAATAGTGCCTTCCAGAACATTTTGCATCGTGCGTAAATTCCGTCTTGCATTTTCTCTGTGGAAATTTGTGATTGGACCGTTGTTTACACAGATTTTTTGTTTTACAGGTTAGATTCGGTCAGACTGAGGCTAAGGTTTGTCCTAAAACTTAATTTTGGTATTGCTTTGAGTAAGAGGGTTGTTATTTTCCTGAATATTGCCTCTGAATTGTACGTTCCGTTCTCAGATAGAGGCGATCGTGAATGACTTCATTCAGCTGAAGCCACAATCCAATGTTTATGAAGCAGAAACAATGGTGGAAGGTACTGTTATTTTAGCTATAAATTTTGTGTGTTTAGTTATTCATTTCTGGAGAGAAGAAAACGGATAGTGGGTTGGGGGGCAACTAGTGCTTCAATGCAATATAGATTATGGCTCATATTTTGACATAATTCCATGAATCATTTAGTCCTTTCCTGATATTCGATGATCTGGAATTAATAGGTACACTAGAGGGCTTCTCATTTGATTCTGAAGATGAAGCTGAGAAAATGTCGAAGGCAGTTCCTCATCAAACCGATCAAAACGAGGAGATTGATGTGCAAATGAAGGGGAAATCCAAAGGAAGAGCTGAGAAAACATCTGTATGCATTCAAACCACCTTAACTAATGTGCATCTTTGTGAAATTGAATAAAAAAACCCTGCTTTTAATGCCATATTACCAGCATATCTATAATGCTTATATAACAAGGGATGTGTCGGTGTAAACGGCGTCTCGGAAGAGAAGTAAAACAGTTGGAGGGAAGTCACAGCCAGCCAAGAAAGCAAGAAAGAAGACTGGCATTTCAAAGAAACCCAAGGCCAAAAAATGAGAAGACAAATCAATGCTGAAAATAATGTTGTATATGCTCTGCCAATTATAGGCACCGATGGTTGGTAATATTGTATTCCTTTAGTTTGCTTGAGTCAGAGGCTTGTACCTTCTGTCGAAATGCATGAACCAAGTGACCTTGGCGATTAAGAGATTTATTATTTTTTGAGGTACGAGTTTGAACACCACTTATGTAAGGGATATGAACGATCATTTTAAGAAAACTTATCTCTCTGGAAGATCACAATTAAAGAAAAATCCAAAGATTTTAAAATAACAATTATAAATACTTGTATTACACTTCTGTATATAGTATTTTACTATTGATGATTTAACATGGTAGATTTTGATTTTTTATTTTATAGCAATTAGATTTTGATCTTAACATTTTCAACCCTGCGAATACAACATATGATTTCAAGTTCTTATACGATATATTAACCGAATTTGCACCATACATCAGCAACTATCAAAGTTGGGAAAAATAATTAGCAACTATCAAAGTTGGGAAAGATAATTAAAGAAGATAAAAATAAACATACAGAATAGATGAAATTCATTATAATTAAACCCTTGTTAAGGGCCTAAATCACCTTGTAGCTATCAAAAGATTATAAATAAAAATGCTACCTAGCATAAGGGAAGATAAGGAATAAAAGTGTTTTTCCTACAGGCAGGTAGAACACCCAAGGTTCCTACCATCATTAAGTCTATTATCCATTTTCTGTATTTGTCCAATATATACAAATATATATATATTTTATAAATGTGAGCGGTTATAAAATAATATCTATTAAAAAAATTCTCAAATCATTTGAGAATGAAAGTTTAAACACTTGCAAACGATATGCTCGAATTCGAGTCTTTTTAGAATTAACAATTATCCATTTAACCATTAAGATTAGTTGGTTTCTTCCTAGGGAAAGATAAGTTAAACAAGAGAAAGGAGTCCTTAAGGTTAATAATAAGATCTATATATGTAAATATCTAATCTAGCTCATATCCATGCTGCCATCTCCAACTTCGCTGCAGAAGGAGGAATCTGCGTGTCTCGTCGCCGCTTAAAACCACAGCCATCGGAAGGTGGCGAATTGTCAGCATCAAGCTTCCTCCTGATGCCTCTGATTACCTGTTCCTCGGCTTGAGAAAGAGGAAACACCTGGCCGCTTGCTCGACAAAGCGAATTATGATTATCATACAGAATTCTCTGGTTACAGTTCTTGTCACAGATGTGTGTGATTCCTGTCAGTTTGCAGCGATACATGTTGCCACAGACATGTTCATTTTGACATTTCCAGTCGCATTTGTGAACAGTGGAAGGACCATCACAGCCCAGAATAGTAGACAGATAAATAACATTTGCAGGTGCAGCCATGGCTTTGAGATCAACCAGTCTTTTCCAAGATGAAATTCCAAAAGCTCCAATCTTTAACAGTATCGAACAGAGAAAACGAAACCCAGAAAAGAAAAAGAGGAAGAACGCACGCACTCTAAGTCTCTCAACGAACAAAGGGAAGAAGAAGACAAGGGGAAATGGGGAAAAGGAGTATATAAAGAAAGTGAGTTAAAATGGGGAGCCGAAGAGTGGGGAGAGGAGGGGGTTGACCAAAGCATTTTGGGAAAGAAAAGCATCCGACTGAGTTGGGAGTTTTGGTGTGAAATAGAAACTCCAAACTAATTCACATGTAATTTCGCACTGTACAAACAACCATTACCAGAAAAATAGAGAAAAGCTCTCTACTTTTTCCAGATCACTGTCACCTTTGAATTTGTCTTTCTTTCTTTCTTTCTCCCTCCCTCTATTTCTCCGTTTTTTACTAAACTATCGCCACAACTCTTTTTTAACGTTTTTTTTTGTTTTTATTTTATCATTTCTTTGTCACCTTCTTCTGTCTCATTTGCGGAGACGGAAGACTGGAGGCAGACAGTCTGCTCTCCCAAAAAAAAAAAAAAAATTGAACTTGATATTTGATCCTTCAATTTTTTAAAAGTTTAAGTTTTATCCTTTGAATATTTTTAATTAAGCATTTTTTTTAATTTTTTATAAGTTATTATTAACTCTAAAAATTTGAAAATTTTAGTTAAACTTTTTAAAATTTTCAAAACTTTTAAATACTTTTCTTAAATTATTTTATCAAACTCTATCACTGGCCAAAGTATGTCTAAGTTAACAAATGTCACAACACCCAATTATAGTTAAATGTCTTTAAATTATCGAGTAACTCTCATTACGTTAAGACTATTTTAAATACCGTATGATCTCTCGATACGTTGCAGTTAACAACAAATTTAATCTCTTTGCGGATGCTTTAACAAATAAACATGTAAGCCATCAACTAAACAAGTAAATTACCAACATAAATTCCAAGTAAAGAAATAAGAATAAACATCCACTAATAGCTTAAAATCATTCATAATCTCAATAACATTATATTGATCAGTGCTCGAGAGCTCCTCTCAGACGCATTAGGGTGTGAAAAAATCGACGAAGCTTAGCAAAAGTTCACGATGATCTCTTGGCTCACCAGTTATAAACTTTGGTACAAAAGGCTTTGAGTTTTCAGTGTTTCATTGCCAAAAGAAAAATTACAAAAAAGAATGAAATCTGTAAAGAAAACTCGAGGAGAAGCCCGTCTTGTGGAATGCACCATCAAGCTCTAACAAATTCGGTTATCCTGATAATCGTTGAGCTCCTCCATGACAAAATATTATCTTATAACATTCGTGTACTTGCCAACGCACTCCATCTCTCGATCCAGAGCAAGCCATCAATTTACTGTAATGTATATAAAACTCAAAACATGATAAAATGCACAGGTAATATAGTTGAGGTGAAAATATCGACGATGCGGAGACAAAAGTATAGAAAATAGGATTAAACCCTTTCATTCAATGCGTAAGCTAAATGTGATGTAATGCACAATGCAAACTAAAAACTAAGATGCAACGAATTACCTAAGTCTGCACAAAAACTTTAATCTAAAGATGTAAATATAACTCCTATTAGAGAATTATTAAGATATGCCTTTCTTTAGGATGTAGCGGAGGCAACTCGATGCTCTTAGCTAGAGAGAAGCCATTTCAGTACAGTGACAACACATCAGAAGCATCTCAACACTATGACAACATAGTAGAGGATATAAAACTCTCGAAGTTGTAGCGGACAAGATTAGAAAATTCCGGTACTTAAACAGAGGAAGGACTCCGATATTTGTTTGTACTAGAGATCTTTAAGTGCTACATGGTATGCTAAAAGAAAGTTTTCCTCAACTATTGTGTGGAAGTAATTCAGTTCTATTTTAATTTTTGTATCGTTTAAAGTGTAGATAGGCTTTTCTCATCTAAAATATAGATAATATCCTCTTATCTAATCTAAGGCAAAGATAGATGACTAACTAGTAAGTTTATCCTATAAGAGTCTTTACTGAAGAATTGTTTGAGAGGCTGCTCTTACTTGTTTCTTGACGCTACCTCTAGTGTCATTGTATCATCATAGTGATCAACATCCATGGTAGCAACATCCATTATTTATTGGCTGATAAGCTTCATATATTCATGTGTGTGATGGTGGTGGTGCTTGAAGGCGGCATGAGTTAACCTTTCCCTTGTGCGTGGTGGTAGTTCTTGAAGGCGGCATGAGCCAGCCTTTCCCTTCATATGTTTGGACCGTCAGGTCGATGAGAGTTGTAACTGGTCTGACTGGGACAAGTCACGAGTGCGTGCTTCATAGAAACATGGCAATGAACGGTGTCTTCTGCTTGTTGTCAATGCTCATAGGAAGAGTGATTCAAGTGAGTTAAATTTGTCTCATTGTTTATGTTATCCTCCATTTTCTTTTCTTCTCCCCATCGTATGCTCCCGTGGTGCTAAAAGGTCAGCTAGTCCTACCACTGCAACTGCAATTGGTCTGCTTAAGAAAGTCGATGTTGTGCATGCAAGTTATGCAACTCGATCTGCAGTCGCTGAAAAAAAAAACCAAGTACATCAAGGGAAATTTTAGGAAGAGGATGAGGTGATATTAGTTATTTTGCTCTCGTTGGTGCATCTCGACTGATTCCTTTCTATTAAAAATTGTTTCACGTTCATCGCACCAATTGTTGATGGTAACATTTAGGTTGTGACGACTATAAGCGATTCACCTTTTTTGGTTTAGGTGGAGAGTCACAACTAGTGATCCATGATAGAATTACATACTATCAATGTCATATGAATTAGAAGATCTAAAGAGTGTAAGAGAGAGCTCAAGAAGTCCCCTTTTTTCAGTCTTGGTTGAGGGGTTTTATGGTAACCCTTAATGCTAATGTCAAGCTTAGGGTCATGATTGTCACTTGTAAGTTGACATGTTAAATAAATATGACCGTCTAATCATATATTTGACTATGACAAATCACATAAGCATATTATAGGTCTTTTCAAGAGAAGGTGATTGGGGAGAAGGTATGAAACCCTTTAGTTCATAAATCTACAAAAGAGAGTTTTTTTTAAGGTCTCCTCTTATTCTTGAGGCTTTGATCATCGGAGGAATTGTTTGTGAAGGAGGTATAATAATTTAAATACTTTGTATAATATATTAGTTGTAATTCAATGAGAACCCTAACTACCATCTTTGATTCTACCATCGTTCTCTCTTCCGTTGCCTTATTTTACTGGAACCACCACAAAAAATAGATTAATTTTCAATTAATTTTGTAGAAATTTATCTTTTCTTGCGCTCAATTCAGATCAACCGATCAATTGATAAATATAGATGATTATAGAAAATAATACTGCTTTAATAATTCATGAATTTTGAAATGTTATTAAAAAATAATTAATATTTTTCACTTAATGTAAGATAAGACTATTTGAATATTATTCAAGTTAGATAAAAATTAAAAGTTTGAACTAGTACAACTAAAAGGGATCAAAGCTTGCAAGCCTTTCTGCCATGATAAATTTTATTAAAACCCAGATGAGTAGAACAACCCAAATCGCTAGTAGCAACGTTGCAACAAGCACACCTAACACACAGCCTAATGAAACTATAAAACAACTCAATACTATGACATACATTTTTTTTTATTAATCTGGGGTAAGTATAATGTAGTATCTATTCAATGACAACTCTCAATCTTTTAACACTAAACGCTTAGACTTCTAGCATTCTTGGTGCTCGAACTTAAAACCTCAAAGAATATCAACAATTCACTTACCACCGAGATCACACTTCTTCGCCCTCCTTGATATCTCTCTACCATGACTCCTTGATGTCAACCTCCTCGATATTTCTTGAATTTTTAACATCCTTTGTTGAAATATATCCTCTAAGGCATTGATCCCTAATGTGCAAGGATGGACCGAAATGGGTGATCAGAGCAGTCATTCCTCTAACAATTTCAAATTATCATATATTTTAGAATTTTATAAATTTGTTCTTCTAGCATAAAATTCTAGATCTGTCCTTACCCTTGGCTTCCACCTTTGCTTATTTTCCCTTTTTTTTCTTATCGTTTTTATATTAGAAAAGAGGGTAATGCACATACATCAAACATTGGGTTCCCAGACGATTCATAACAAGAGATTTCTATGAGAAAAGGCTTGTTCAAATGGAAATATAATAATTTATTGATTAGGGGATAATGTTATAGGTGGATAGAATTGAAATTCAAATGTTACAACTGATATCAAGCTGATCTGATGGAATGTATATTTATAACATGAACCCTCTAGGCTTGGATTTTTGATCCGTCCTCGACAGGGGCGTCACTTTTAACTTTTTCCTTGCTTGGGGGCACATCATTTGATTTATGCGCACCTGATTCAGCTTCCTTCACCGCTTCTTTTGTGACATCCTCCACCTTATCTTCATTATCCTCCTTGCTGGCTTTAACTTCGTCGTCCTCCGTCGGTTCCTCAGCTTTGGGAACATCTGTCCCCGCGGAAACAGCCTCAGAGGACGAGGTTTCAGCCTCCTTTTCCCCCTCCGGTTCAGCCTTCTCAATCTGATTCTCACCTCCGTTTGTGTTGCTCTGCATTTATTGATAACAAAATTGTAATAATGAAATGAATAAACAATTATCGATGAGAACAAGTGGACTGTCTCGATCCTTAACAGTTTATCTTTTCTAATTTAGATAAAAAAAATTAATATAATCGTTAATCAATATTTCTATATAATATCGGTTTATAGTAAAATCTCTATTAATTGTAATTCTTGGTTCAAATTAGAAGAGATGAACTATCAACCCCATCAAAATATATATATAACTTATAAAGTAAAATGTATCATATACCTGAGCAGTTGTCTCAGGCTGAGTGTTGTCAGAGCTTAAAGGAGAGCGGGCATGGCTGTCCAACTCCTTAGGTTTGCTCGCACAGCCACCCATGATAGAATCGGAAGTTAGGGGGAGAATGGGGCGCGCGAGTCTCTGGAGGTGGTGGGATGATGTTTGTAGTAAGGGGATGATGAATAAGATTGAACTGAGGTTGAGGCAATGAAGGAATGGGAGCCGATCCATTAATATAGTATTACCACCTTCTAATCTTTACGAAATATTGTCCTTTCACTTGTTACGGTGGACCTTGTCAACCGGCGTATACACGGTGCCGCTTAGTTTTCTCGGCCGCATTTCATGCCAGGGTGACCATTCCGCATTTCATGCCAGGTTGGTGTTTGTTATGACAATTTGGTAAAACTACTATATCTGAAATTACATTTACGATGACAATTGGTCGAGTTGGGTTGAGTTTTTGGTCAATTCGATCGGATTCAAAAAATATGTACACTCCACTCGAACTCGATTCGATCCAAAAATTATTTACTTTTCACCCAACCTGACCCGACCCGACTCACCTGAAAAATATATATCCTCTCCTCGACTTCAACCTGACCTAAATTTTTAGAATATAAATATGAACCGACCTGATCCAAACCAATTTGAGCATATGAGATATCGTTGTTGCAAACCATTTCCTAGCTTCTTATCTCACCAATGTGGGATATGAGTTCTCTCCATTTTCCTTTTTTCACAACACAATTCACATGAATTATACTTTGAACATTAATTTCTCATTCATCTTTCAACAATTTTGAATATATGAGATACCGTTGTAAAGATTTCACGGAATAGAATATGAATTAGTAAATTCAATTTTCAATTTTTACCCTTTAAAAATATGCCTCAAACTTTCTAATTTATCACAATTTTCCAACAAAAATTTGATCCTATCAGATTAAGTCGAATCGAAATCCGTCGATTTCAAATTAAATTATCATTGCTAATTGCATTTTAATCATTCTACTGAAATAATGAGCAAATCGACCCCTTTCATTTTTAAAAGAGAAAAGTGATCCATTCATTAAAAGTTCCATCCGTTTTACAGTTAATTATTCACATAAAAATTATACATAAAAGAGATTTCTGTTTGGTTTGCGCTGGGACAGTAACACTACGATTAGAATAAATGATTACTTAAATGGTTATATAAAGTTGAATTTGTATTGAGTTCGAATTATAAATTTATTGTATACATTATTTTAAAAATAAATGTGCTTCAAACTTTTGTATAAATATTTTAACTTGGATATTTTGTTTTATTTCGTTTAAAATTTCGAGTAATTTTGATGGTCAAATGTGACACTTACAAACTCGTTTTGAGTAATACATTTAGTGATATTGAAGCTTAAATTCAGTCGGTTTTAGGTCAATTTAGTTATGCCTTACATGGCCCTAAAATTGAAAAGTGTACCAATGTCGAATAAGACTCCAATATCATTCATCCATCACAGAATTGAAAAGTAACATTGGTGTCTTACAACGAAATCGAGTCGTTCTTATCCGTTTTATAAATGAATAGTTGATTGACGAGACTTTAAATTGATCATCGTTAATTGATCAAGTCTTAATGGAAAGAAAATGAACGATCAATGTCTGATTCAATAACCTTGAAAAGTAACATTGAATGAAACATTCATGATTGTTGATCCTTAATCTGATAGCTATTGGTTGAGAGTTCTTTTATGTTGCCTATGGGGTTGATCGCTACAATAACTATCTTTGTAAGTTGGTGTTCTATTATAATCCCATCATTTTGGTAGTTATACACACTGATGATAAGGTTCTGGTGTATCCTAAATCGATAATGAGTTTCATAAATCCTTTTATATTAGCCTCAAGTCAACATTTTGTGTACGCATAAACCAAGTGATATTGGTCATAAATAAATTGTTATTTTTTTAAGGTATTGAGTTATAGTATTATGAATGTTAAGAATAGTTAATAATTATCTTTAAACAAATATTATATTGTATTTACTCTAAATTCATAATAAATAAATAAAATATCTCGTGTACATTGACAAGTTCAAATATATAATTTAAATAATATCTATCGGTTTATTATAAAAATAAGTATTTAAACATATTATTTTTTCCATTTAGGTATCTAACCTAATTTTTGGTTAGCTTAAATATTATTTAAAAAATTATAGATTTGAACTTGTTACAGTATATAATATCTGTTTAAAGATAACTCTCAACCAATTTGACATTCGACGCCCGCACTCCTGACATTTATAGTTCTCGAACCTGGAACCTTAAGGAATACTAACAATTCATTTACGACCAAGGTTGTTGGGTTCGTGCGTACACAAAATATTCACTTCCTTTATTTCATATACATTTATAAAAATAAATTCAAAATAATTTTTTAATGATGTGACATCACATGAGGACCTATCATATAAGTAAGAATATTTTCATCTAACCAAAACTATTTTACTTTAAAAATAAAATATTAATAGTTAAAATACTTTAAAAAAAATTAAGATGCAAAGTGAATATTTGTATATATATTGAGGGTAATTTTATTATTATGCCGTTTCTTAAGACAAGAAATGTAAGAGGGAATCTTTTGCGTTTAGACATAATGGTAAAAGCATAAATAAATAGTAATACGCGGAATATTCAACATGAAACGCGGGTAAAATTAATAATTGAAATTGAAAAATAAAATAAATAAAAGAATTGACGACTTACTTTCTAAGCTCTTTCCTTCCTTTCTACTCTGAACTCAATGTATGGTATGGGCCATCCTCTTTCTTAATCAAACATTTCTAATTCCCTTTTTGAATCTTCCCGTTTCCCCTTTTCTTTATATCTTAGGGTTATCTATTAAAATTAGTAATTTTTTATTCTTCTGTTACCAACATTTGGCATGGCTGTTCTGTCACTGAATTCTCTACCCATCGGATTCCGGTTCCGACCAACCGACGAGGAATTGATCGATTTTTATCTACGCTCTAAGATAAACGGGAATAGAAACGATGAAGTTGGGGTTATTCGTGAAATTGATGTTTGTAAATGTGAGCCCTGGGATTTGCCTGATTTGTCTGCTATACAGAGTCGTGATCCCGAGTGGTTTTTCTTCTGTCCACTCGACCGGAAGTATCCAAACGGCAATAGGCTCAATAGGGCCACCGAGGCTGGTTACTGGAAGGCTACGGGTAAGGATCGCAAGATTAAGTCTGGGTCCAGCTTGATCGGCATGAAGAAAACTCTGGTCTTTTATACCGGCCGGGCTCCAAGGGGAAAGCGAACTAATTGGGTTATGCACGAGTATCGTACTACACTCATTCAGCTTGACGGAACCAGGCCTGGACAGGTTCCTCCTTTTCTTCTTCTTTTGAATTCAGTTTTCCGTTTAGTAAACCCCCTTCCTTTTTTATTATGATCATTGAAGATAAAAGGTCAATTTTTAGTACGGGTTGTGGAAAATTAGTTGAGATCATGAATTCCTTGACGTGGTTGATAGTTTAGTGCAAGATCTGTTATCCGAGTCCGTTTGCACCGATTTTTCTTCCTAATTTGGTCGATGATTCCTATTCTTTTTTTAAGTACACGATTATTTGTGTTAATGTATTTCTTTGGCTAGGTCAATTGTGATAATATTTAGATGTAGTTGCTTTGATATTATGATAGTCTTTTCACATATTCATTGATCTTTCATTTCCTCGTCCAGAATCCATTTGTAATTTGTCGTCTATTCAAGAAACAAGATGAGAGCATTGACGATATAAATGGTGAAGATATAAATGAAGTTGATCATGCTGCATCTTCTCCTACTGAAGAAATGCAGTCTGAGTTAGAAGGGTCTCATGACTCACCTGCGATGGAAGGGGTGGCCCGAAAATTTCCTGATAGCAATGGAACTTGTCCTGGGGGCCTGCCAAATGAAGTGATTTCTACCACAGTTGCACCTAAATTAGAGTGTGATGGCTCTAATGCTTATGGTGTATCGAGTCAAGGGGCAGAAATAAAGCCTGCAGAGGTGAGAAAAGGAAACTGAGTTTGAATTTTAGATTTTTGTAATAATTGCTGTAGAACTTATGATGTCTAGTTTCAGGTCGATCCACTTGAAGAAGCTTTAAATCATTTTTATGATCCGGTGGTGGAGCCACCAGATTTCAAACTCTTTTCTCCGTTGCACTCACAGATTGAAGCTGAGGGGGCACCTTGGATGTTCGGTCACGTTGGGAACAATTTCAGTGAGACGGAGTTCGAGCATGATACAAATGAAAATGAGGCCTCTATTTCTGACTTCTTGGATTCTATCCTAAACAATTCTGATGACTACTACAGTGTTGACTCTGGCAGTCAGAAAAATTCAGCTATTCAAAGTGATATCCCAAAAGCCTTGGCCACTGTTATGGATGGAATATCATGCAGTAAATCAGATGCTGAAGTGGCCCAAATATTGGTGAGTTGCAGTCTTGGTCATATCATACTTGCTTCCCATTAAACCTCATAGGGTGTCGTGATTCATTCCAGTGTGGTTCACAATGGTCCACGAATTATGATGGCATGCATAATATGCATAATTTAATATTTTCATGTTCAGGCATTAGGTACACTTTTCATTCCGATTAATCCTTTCTTTTCCTAAAATCGAGAATTTTTCCCTTGGAACAGCTTGGGACAGAAACAGCCACCGGAGCTCCTTTAGAGATTAAAGCCACTGCACAAGATTGCACAACTCCAACAAGCAAAGACGTTAGCTTTTCTGGCACTGGGCCATTACATAGTGTGTTAAACAGTAAAGAAGAATCGACCAATCATGTGAATGCAACTTGTAATCTTGATAATGCTATCACTGGAATCAGGATAAGGTCTCGTTCTGCTCGAAGTCAGCCAAACATTGAGAACTCTGTGATGCAGGGTTATGCCCCAAGAAGAATACGCCTGCAGTGTAAACTTCAAGTTGGCACTCCTTACCCACCTAATGCAATAAATAACTTTAGTGAAGGAAAAGATGAAGATTCAAAGCCAGTTGTTTCCAAGGTGAGAACATTGTAACTGATATTGTATAAAATCACTTTCAAATCCAGATATGTATTGGATCTTATTATAAGTTATCCATGCAGGAAGTTAAAGTCATGGAAGAGGATATAGCAACTCGTAGTGATACTGCTGGTGGCACCATCGACAAACACCTGGAAATATCCCTTTCTGAGTCGAGCGAAAAATGTGTTTTGAAGTCTAAGACCATTGTTTCAGTTTTTGAAGAGATTCCATCTTGTTGCACAAAAAAGTTTTCCGCAAGTCGCTGGCATACGCCCTTTGGTGTTATCTTTTGGTTAGCTGTGATATTCATCTTGCTTGTAGTTTTCGTTAGCAAAATGAATCTTGTAGTTTGATGACTCCATATTTCGTTGTGTAGTTGACATGTTTCATAGAATCCTATTTTTAAGAACCGTGATGATGACTTTTAATTGTAACAGTTATGTATGTAATAACACGAGTATATCTATTCAGTGTAATATACAGAGCATCTGTTTATGCAGTATATGTGACATTTGTTTCGGAGTTTTTGCATATTGCTTCAGGGAAGACTGCCATTGAGGACACTATTAGTAATACGATTTCATTGTGTACAAAGTTTTCGATTGTGGTCAGCGAGTGTCAAATACGAGCCTATGGTCATAGGACCGATAGCTGTAGTCTGGATGCCTTGCCGAGGCAGCATATTCTTCACCTACTTTGCCTAAAACCATACCTTTTCGAAGATTTACAGGTACATAAACAACAGATCAGAAACATAAATGGCAAAATGGTGCTCACAAGTACCAGAAAAATGATCCTCCAATCCCTTGATGCCAACAAAACATCTATGCTTCGAGATCATCAAGTGAAAGTCGCGCCATTGGAATGGAGCTTTCTGCATGAATTCACTTTCATTGACTACTGCTCTAAAATTATATAGTAGTAATCGGTCAATGTCCTCAACTTTTACAAGGGTATAATTGGTCATTGTCCGTTAATATTTAATGAAAGTATTTACGTAAGAGTTAATAAAATTGATATAATTGGTAGAGCACAAGGTTCTTAACCTTGAGGTCGTGGGATCAAGTCTCACGGAGGGCATTTCATAATTCGGAGGTCTTCTACGGAAGCTGCTTTTAACCTGGTGTTGGGGGCAACCTACTATCTTACCTCCCCTTACCCCATTATATATGGGAACAAGGGACAACCAACCATTTACGTAAGAGTTAATAAAATTGATATAATTACACATTTGATCCTTAATACCTATATATTAAATTAATTTAATTTTAATTTTAATATTTAATAAATTTATTCCTCTAATAAGATGGCAACATATTTCACCACCTGATTAAAAGTTTTTTTATAATTTCAATTCATTTAATTTAATTATTTTTTCTTCAATTCCGATGATGACACGTGTCATAGTAGTATAGTTGGAGTTTGGGGGACTATTGTATAAGGAAATACTGTGGATCAAGAACAAGATGTTTGCTGAACCATACATTGCTAAAGCACCGTACAAAATAATGGGATCAACGACTGAAACCCAAATGACTCCCACCCACGTCTCCGATGAGGAAGCACACTTATTCGCTATGCAACTCACCAGTGCCTCCGTGCTACCGATGGTCCTCAAATCAGCCATAGACCTTAACCTGCTGGAGATCTTGGCCAAAGCTGGTCCTGATGCTTTCCTTTCCCCTAAAGAATTGGCTTCCCAGCTCCCCACCAACAACCCCGACGCACCCTTCATGCTCGACCGCATCTTGCGTCTCCTGGCTACCTACTCCATCCTCACTTGTTCCTTGCGCACCCTTCCCCATGAGAAAGTAGAGAGACTCTATGGTCTTGGTCCTGTTTGCAAATTCTTAACCAAGAATCAAGATGGTGTCTCTTTTTCTGCTCTCACTCTCATGAATCAAGACAAGGTTTTTGTGGAGAGCTGGTTAGTAGCTACAAAAAGCATAATTTACTTGCTTCTTTCCCTTTTATATGTCCATTTGTTTTTGGTATAAAAGATGCCACAAAGTAGTAAACTGAAGATCCTGTCGAATTGAGATTGGATTGAGAATTGTTTATGTTGGGACCATTAATTTGCAGGTACTACTTGAAAGATGCAGTGCTGGATGGTGGAATTCCCTTCAGTAAGGCCTATGGTATGACCACATTTGAGTACCAAGGTACGGATCCTAGATTCAACAAGGTTTTCAACAGGGGAATGTCTAATCACTGTACCATGGCTATGAAGAAGATTCTTGAGACTTATGATGGCTTTAAGGGAATCAAAACCCTAGTCGACGTTGGTGGCGGCACCGGAGCCACGCTTAATATGATCGTCTCCAAGTACCCTTCCATAAAGGGCATTAACTTTGATTTGCCCCACGTAATCAAGGACGCTCCATCTCATCCTGGTATGACTTTAGCCATGCCTCTTTACTCTTTGTTAAGCATTTCTGAAGGAGTCATTTTGAACTTGAATTGCCAAATGCGCTTCAACAGCTTATCATAAACTTTGAATTTGTTGATTTCCTCGATGAATGGACAAAACTGCATTGTTCCTTATGAAATGAGAATGGACTTTCTTATCGTAGGTGTGGAGCATGTTAGTGGAGACATGTTTGAAAGTGTTCCAAAAGGAGACGCTATTTTCATGAAGGTGAGTTCAACTCGAAGGGAAATTAAACTCCGTTTTTCCTATCCCATCATGTGACTTGTTAATTAGTTGGGAATTTATAAATAAGTTCAAAGGACAACAATTCTAATGCTTTGCTCTAGTGATTGAGTTAATTCCTAAACTTCATTGTTAATATATATAAACTCTATGCAGAGTGTGTGCTCGTTGTTAATAGGTCAAAAATATTTAAACAAATATTATATTGTAATCATGTCGGACTATTAAAAAAAGTAAAATATTGTTTCATTTTCAGATCCCAAGTTAGATCCACTCTAACTTTATACATAATTTCCTTAAATTTTACCAATAAGAAGACGAAAAGTATTGTAATCTTATTAGAGGGTTAAACTTACTGAATTATTTTTAAATTAACATTAAATTAATTGAATATGTAAATATGAAAGATTAAATGTATTATTATAAATATTTTAAAATTTTTACATCAGCCTTGTGATTGCAAGTTTTAGTGACGTTATTGACAATTTTTTGATTCTGTTACGAGATTAGAATCAACCCATAATTTAGTGAGAAATTGTATTGTTTACCTTTAAAATTTTAGGTGCCTCATTAACCATGAATTTTACTGATGCAGTGGATATGTCACGCCTGGAACGATGAACACTGCTCAAAATTATTGAAGAAGTGTTACAAAGCTTTGCCAGACAATGGAAAAGTAATTGTTGTAGAATCCATTCTTCCAGATTACCCGGATCCTAGCCTCACCACAAAGTTAAATCTGCAAGTTGATTGCATCATGTTGGCTCTCTCTTCTGGTGGGGAAGAGAGGAATGAGAAAGAATTTGAGGCCTTGGCAAAGGGTGCAGGGTTTCAAGGTTTCCAAGTAAAATGCCGGGCCATTGGCATGTCCATCATGGAGTTCCTCAAAAGTGTTTAATGGCATATAATCTCAACTTTGAGAAGAATTCGTAAAGAAGCTGATTGTATAAATATCCAGTTTGTTGGCATTTTCTATTAGCATAATTTGGGAGATGACAGGAGAGACTATTATTAAAACTGGATCTTATTTAGATTTGAATGGTACTTTTGTCGTATAATCTTTTTAGGAAAATTAAGGGGCCTTTGCCTCATGACGGTACTGATTCTGAGGGGTGGAAGGGTTGTTCTAATAACCGGTCTACTGTTAAATCGGCTTATGCGACGCGGTTTGGTCCGGTGGATGGTGAAGCTGATAAATTGTGGGCATTAATTCATGGATATAAAGGCTTGCAGAGAGTTAAATTTTTTCTTTGGTTAGCTTGCTGCAACTTAATGACCAATGCGGAACGTGTACGTAGGCACTACACCTTAGACAGTCGATGTTGTTAGTGCCAAGATCAATTGGAAGATGTGAATCACGTCTTGAGGATTTGTCTTGTTGATTTCTCAGTTTGGAAGGTATTGATTAAACCGGAGAAATTCCAAGAATTTATTTCGATGGAGTTCAAAGCGTGGGTCGGGTCAAATTTATCACTTCCCAATTGGGTATTCTCATGTACACACAAGTATGAATCACCAATCTTCTTGTCTTCAAAGCGAAAACCTCAATCTTCCTTTGTAGATTCTTCTTCTTCTAGAATCTACCCCGATAAAAGTACGATCGCCTGTCAATTCAAGTTTGTATTTCTATAAGAACAAATCTTATCATCTCATGCGCAAACATGTGATTTTTGTCTTTTATCTTTGTTTCTTCATTAAGATCTCAGAAGAAGCATTTTCTCTCTTGATGAGCACTTGTCTTGGATTCTTATCGCAATTGGGTATACAGTCTTGATGCGCCTTTTCTATCTCTAAGCTCATTTACTCTATCAAAGTTGTTGCTTTTCATATTTTACCCTTATATTCTGAATGGTTTGCTTTTCAAGATAACATCTTCATGTATTTGTATTCTGCCCTTGACAACCTAAGTGGTGGGGTTCTTCCTTGTTGCAATGGATCCTCATCGTCTTCCATGCTTATTTGATTCAAATATTGTTATCTCAGTATGATATGAGCTTTTAGTAATGCCCCATTACGAGTAATTTTCTCTCTTCTTCATGGCTCGTCATCATTCGAGTGCCAAGTTTCTTTCTTTCTGGATGATCTTTTCTCCGTGTCGTTTTCGTCAACAACCTCGTGCCCTCAATTTGGTCAACCGAAGTGTCATCAAATGTCTTCTTCTCTTCCCTTATTAATTTGATGATAAGGACGAGAGCTTCTCTACATGAAATCTCATGCCCTACCGACCTTGGGTCTTTACAAAGCTTTTGAACATCATTAGCCACTTTAAGTGCAAAAAATGTTTTCTTATTTACGAGCTTGCTCATTTTTTGATAATAGAAAAGTGATCAATGTATCTAATACGAAAATTCTTTGAGTCCTCGCTATGAATTTGATATCGACGCATCTAATATTGAGCCATGCCCATTCTTTAAGAAAATCATTTGCTTGATGTTGATAATGTCACAAAGAAGTGCGAGAAATTCTTATTTTCGTGTCTTTTGATCTTTCATACTTCATTAAGGGATGGTTTCATCACTTTTGCATCGCTCCTCCTTGCTCTTGCTTTTATCTCTTGCCTCACCTTTTTATTCGTGGGCATTCCGAGGCAAAGTGGGCCTTGCCAACTTCAAAGGCCTCCTTTTATTCTCGAGAGACTATCCTGTTTGAAATATTTTTTTCTTCTTTCTTTTATTTTTCAAAATTCAAAAACGAAGAAATTTAGTAAAACAAAATAACGCTCCTTATTTTAGGCTCACAATTGAAACAAATAATCAATTTAATGAATATCAAATAAATCAAACACTTTTTGAGTTTTCAAAAATTATATCCCTTTTCACAGGTGTAAGATCGATGACTTAGTTTTGGGTTGGCTCCACTTTAAATTTCTAAGGCTTCATAATCTAGATAATCTTTATTTCTTGGTCTTAATGAACAATGTGGCATGCCCTTCTATCTTGGCTTAGCCTTTCAATCAGATACGGATAAAATGATGCAATTCGAGTATTTAATTATTAGACCTTTTAGAGCATATTGATTTTGATTCTCTTAAATCTTTCATTTGTTCAAGCTTCATAGATTCATTTAGTATAGACAATGCAAAAATATCTATCTAAAAATAAAATTCTAAGTGCTTGTGTGTAGTTAACTATAACGAGTGTTTCTCGACTCCCTTAATCCATCTTCCTCTGAAAATCATTCTTAAATTCAAACATTAGGCTTTGTTGTTTCCGTGAATTTCATTTCATTCACTTTAGTGTTCTTGCTTTGATTTTGTCAAGGGCGTCTCATCACAAAGTCTTCGACTTGACAACCAAAGTGTAGCAAACACCGAATTACTTGGTATCTTTATCAATGTTATGATTTGAATCAACCTATTCATAAAGCTAGTGCTCCTGACTTATCTCTTTAGCTCATTACTTTAGTGGAATACCTCTTATCCATATTCATAAATCTAAATGACAAGAATAGAGGATTCAACAAGTCGCAAAGTCTTCGACTGGACAATCATATTGGAGCATACATCGAATTGACAGGTGACCCGATCATTTGCAAGATTTGAACGATACTCACTTCATGAAGTTTGAACTTACCTCCATAGACAATTAGCTCATTACTTTTAGCGGAGTGCCCCCAATTTTAATACATTTACTTTGTGGTGATGCTTCATTCTGAATATTTGACTTCAAGACTTTTTAAGCTAATCAAGAAGAACATGTTATAGTCTAGATGTTGTTGAATGTCTGAAAATTTTATCTTTAGAGTTCAATTCCCTACCAACTGTCTTAAACTGAATTCATCTACTCTACTATTCTATTTGTGGAAAATTATAGATCATCACTGAACATCCTCAACAAAAATGTAATCTAATCGGTTTTGCAATGTCATGCACAAAAGATGTCTCATTTTTTCCGCTCTTATAAATACCTAAATGCATTGTGTCAACACACCTTTTCGTCATACTTGGATTCAAACTCCTAAAAATAGGATAAATTTCTACTATTATTTAAACTCCTAAATATAGAATCCACAATCATTATAAATAGTCATTGTAACTCACTATTGTAAGACATTCGGAAGAGGATATACGAAATACCAAGCAAAAAATTACAAGCAACTTGTAGCCATTTTTCGAAGCATTTATATTTTGAAAGGTAAAGTTCATACCTTCGCATGTTATTTTTCCTTACCCTTGTTGTGTTTTGATTCGAAAGAAAACTGAGAGAAGTGTTTTTAGTCGATGATCGGGGGTGTTTTCGAGATCTATTTTTGTAAATCTAGTCCACGAGGCTTGTGTTTTTGAAAAACTATTCGGATTTTTATAAACGGGTCGTGTGGATCCGCGTGTTTTGTCATTTTTTTCTTCGATTGGCTTTTACTTTTGACCCCTAATTCATTTTTTATTTTAATTTAACCCTTACTATTTATATGTATATATATATATATTTAATTATATTTTATTTATTTATTTATTATAATTTTTTTCATTTTCCTTTGCGTTATATTATATTATTTTCCTATTATTATATATATATATATATTATATTATTATTTTTTATCTATGTTTACTTATGTACTATGTTTTTTTACTATATTTTCCTAACGTTATATATATATATTCTTACTTCATTTTATTTTATATTTCTATGATTACTATTTTTAGTTAATATTATGTATATTTATTTTTCATTTATTTATTATTGTTAATATTAGTATTTTTATATATACATATATTTTATATTTTTATATATTTTTTATTTTATTATTTTATTTATACTATTTATTTATTTTCATTATGTTTTTAGTTTCTTTGCTCTTATTATTATTTTTATTTTTTTAAAAACACTTTACCTTATTTATTCTTTTTTGTATATATATATTTTTTCTTCATTTATTTTATTTTATTCAATTTTATTTTTTTTATTTGTTTCATCCAATTATTTTATGTTTATTATTATTGGTTTCATTTATTTCCTTGGTTTACACTTTAGTTTTGTTACTTTCTTTTATTATTATTATTTTCTTTTAACTTCTTATTTTAATTTTTAAGGGTATTTCCGTAAACTCATTAAGGGTAAGTAATTCAGATCAAATTTTACCTTTTAATTTAACTTGCAATTTTCTTAATCAAAGACAACTGGAAATTACGTAGTACCGAAAGGGCGGTTCAAGGGTGCTAATTCTTCCTTGACCGTAACCGACTCCCGAACCCGACACATCTTTGGAAAGAAGCAGATCAGGTAAGAAATAGGGTATCCGATCAACCTATTTTTTTAAATAAATGATCGGTGGCGACTCCCAATCCACATTTTTCAAGTCGAAACCCAATTCCGTTGCTCAACCGAAAGACGGTTACGATAGCTTGGCGACTCCGCTGGGGACACAGGTAAGTGAGTCAGGCTAAGGTAATTTCCAGTTGTCTTTTTAATGAAAAGGGTAAGTTTAAATTTTAAGGTAACATTACTTACTTTTGATTATATTTTCGAGTAAATAGTTGTATTGACCGTTTTTTAATGATTTCAGCCCTTAAAGATTTTTCATCCAAAGGCTTTATACCCGAGCTCCGAACCAGTTTTAAGTGGGGGTGAAAGCGACGCATTCGTGTGAATTTATTCATCGTATGGGCCTAGCAAGTAACCTTCGAGATTCATATACCTTATGCCTTCGTGTGAATTTATTCTCCGTATGGGCATAAGGGAATGTTTCCTCTCGAGTTTAACTTAGTCCACACAAGCCTGTGATGGGTTTAGGACTAAGGGTCTGGTAAGCCCAAGGGGGCACCGGCAAGAAGAACTCGAGTACCTTTTTTTAGAACTTAAACCCGGAGACTACAAGGAGTTAGGGCCCAGCCCAAAACCTTGTTTTAAACCCTAGGATGGAGAAATTATTTTCTGCTTTATTTTCTGTTCAAAACATGTCAACTAGAAATTTATGCGATTAGGACTTGTTCAAAATCAACTTGCGGGATAGAGATCATGTTCGGGTAGGAATAATAAGCATGTGGGGTAGATATCATGTGGGGTAGGACTTTTATTTTCATGACTGTTTTGATTATTATATTTACCTTACTAACTCTTTTCATTTTGTTTCATCTCTTTTATTTTATTTCCATCATCTGCATCATTCAAAAGAGGTGTTGATCCACCAAAAAACGTGTTCGTTAACCATAAATAATCTGCATTAATGGACAAAGGTGTTGTAATACAGGAGATTAAAAACCCCGAGGTACGACTATGGTCCGAGAAGACTCAGAAAGAAAAGGGTGTCAGTCTTCAAGGAAGTTATGTGTCAGAGCTTGTTAGCTATGCCTCTATCAGCCTAAAACAGAACAATGTGCAAGAACTTCGAGACATCTGGGAAAGTTGGAATAATGATCGAAAATAAAAGTTCAGTCAGCGGTATGGTGACATTGCACTTTTGCTTCATGTTAAGGCCGGTGAGCCCTTAATCAAAGCCTTGGTTCAATTCTGGAACCCGGGATACAGTTGCTTCACTTTTAACCAAGAGGACATGGTACCTACCATCGAGGAGTATACTAC